CCCTGGGGCAGCTCAAGGAGCGCGGCTTCGTGAGGGAGGGCGATCTGGTCGTCGTCGTCTCAGATCTGCGTGAAAAGGGCAGCGGCGCGGACGGCAGCATGGAGGAGCTGCCCGCCCCCAGCCTCAAGGGCGCCCCCAATGTCAACATCCGGTCAGTGCAGGTCCGGCACGTGCGGTGACGCACGCGCAAGGACGCCAGCACGGCACGCGCGGCGCCCGCGCGGCGGCCGCCGCCTTACGAGGGAGGGGCGCGCGCCCGCCACGTCAGCGCGGGCACTACGACCCTCGGCCGGCTGGTAGCGCGGGTTTGACGAGCCCGCGGTCCTTGCTGCGGCAGGCGCCTGGCTCCAATGCAAGTTGGTCGCGCCCGCACCACCCGCCCACGCGGGCGCCAGCCCACCCCGCCCCTGGCGGCGCCGCTCCCCGTTGTCGGACCCTGTAGCGCGCGGTGCCCCGCGCTTTGCCCATCTGAAGAAGAGAGATTGATATCCGATCCAGCGACTATCGATCGGCGTGCTTGGCATGCCGCTGCCATCCCTTGCCCTGACTTGTTTCCGCGCGCCCTCAAGTGGAGGGCAAGCTTTGGCCGCTCCGCCCGCCGATCCGCCGCGCGCCCAAGCTGCCGCCCTCTGGCCCCGTCCGCCGCGCCTCTCCCGGCGCCGTCGCCCGCGCCCCGCGGGGCCGCGCCGCTGCCCTAAGCAGGGCCGGCGGCCCAGCTAGGGGGGGACCGCGGGGGCCATGCGCGCAAGGCCAGGCGGGGCGTCTTGTACCTGCTGCACATTAGATCGTTGTCAGGCGATTATGCAATCGCATTTACGCGCGGCTGCTGCGGGGGCGCTCGGAAACGCCTCTCGCACCAATAGAGAGAGGGGCCGTTCCCGATCCCCCTTGCTTTTCCAGCGGCGGGAGCGCGCGCGGACGAGCACAACACGGCGCCGGTTGCTTGGGCGCACGCAGGCGCGCCTCTGGGCCGCGGCGCGGCGCGGCCACCCTCGCCCGAACCCCCCGGCGCCCCGCCCCCTCTCATTGTATGATATTTCAGCCGCCCACGCCGCGGCCCCTTTGGCCGACTGGCGCGGGGGGTGGGGGTAGGCTGCCTGCGCCGCGTCTTGCCAGTATGATACACCTCGGCCCTGTGAGCTCCTCCCCTTGTATGTAGAACACCCCTGCAGCCGGCGCTGGCGCCCCGAGCTCGCTGGCATATCCCATTGTAACAGTACAAAAACCTCCTGCCGCCTTGCCTGCTCCCTTGCGGGAAATCCTGAGGCCGCACTGCTGCCTCTGGCTAGCAGCTGGCCGGGAGTTTCAGGTTTAGGGCCTGAATTGGCCCAAGGCACGGCCGCCTGATCAGCCAGTGCTGCGTGGCTTGCCCCCTAACAAGTGTCAACACGCGCCGCTATCAAAAACTCAGTGATGCACGGCGGGGCCTTTCCACGGGTGCTGCGAGCGTCAGAGCACAGCCTGCCTGTGAGCTGGGGGCGTGGTGATGCGGGGTGGGCGCGGCGCGTCGCGTAGCGCGCAGCGGCGAGCCCCGCTGCCTAGCGCGGCGACAGCAGCCCCCGCGCCAGTCAAACCTTGGTCAACCCCTGTGTCACTGTCGGTACACTTGGCATCGTGTGCTGTCCAGTCGCCGTGTGGGGGTCGGTTGGGCGCTGATGGCATCACCAAGGGTGGGCCGGCCTCCAAGAAGCAGGCGTCTGTGGGGATTATGAGTGCGGGGGTCACAACCCAGAAAGCCCGTCCAGAGACGCTGACTCAAATCTGCGGGGAGGCCATGCACTGCCCTATGTGCCGCCCCACTGCCGTCGTGGAGACGCCTGGCGCCGGGGTCTTTGGGCGCCCAAGCCCTTCTTTGACCAATCAGGGGTAGAGGGTTTAGGGAGTTTAAACTCCGAACCCTGAACCCTACCACCCGCAGAACACCCACCCTTCCCCTCCTTTCGCTAAGCCCTGTCATCGGCGGACGCACGCATTACAAGAGCCCCCGCGCAAGGCTGGTTGATCTGAGGGCATTGGCCTGTGCCGTGCAGGGCAGACACTTCAACTTGGTCGCTACAGATCTGGCTGAGTGCGATATCCTCCTGCCTCCCCGACTGCCATCCCCAAAGCTGCACAAGCTTGTCAGTCGGCGGTTACAGATCAAAGGCATGAGTTGCAAGTGTGTGGGAGCAGTGCGTTGGTTTTCCGCCGTCGCCCGCGCCGGCCGGGCGGCCCCTGGAGCGCCGGGGTGCCGGCGTCCGAGGGCCACCGGCCGGCGGCGGCCGGCTGCGGGTTTTGTGTGCAGTCCTGCGGGCTACAGTGGTGTTTTCAAAGGTCCTCGGCAGGGCGGTCGGCGACCATAATCTTACGCGCGCACCGACGCGCGCCCCCGTCGGCGCTGGCGGCGCGCGGCCGCAATCGGTTGCGCCCGGGGCGACGGCCGCGCGCGGGGCCGGCGGCGGCCGCGGCGCGCTTGAGCAACGGCCCGGCCGCTCGTGGCGCTGCGGCGGGCTTTTGCAACGTGGTTGGTCCGGCGATCGGGCGCGATTCCAAGCAACAGAGGTCTGTGGACGCTGGGGCTGGCAGTGCGCGCTGCGGCCGCGCCGCGCCGCGCGGCCGGCGCCGGCCGCGCGGGCGGGGGCCTGCAGGCAATCAAGATCTGCAGTGCTGAGTTGAGGGGTGCGGGCGGGCGGGGGACCCGGCCGGTGCCGCGCTTGCAATTCCAGGACCGCCGCGTGGGAGCGGGTGCGTTCACAGAAAAACGACAAAGCAAATGGCCAACGGAAATCGGGCACCCCACCTGCCCCGCCCCGCCCGAGCGCGCCAGCAAAACCGCGGCGCAGACAGCCGTGCGGCGCGGAGCGGCCGCCCCTCCGTCCCGCGTTGCGCCGCCGTGGGCGCGGCCGCGGGTGCCTCGCAGGGGCGGTGCGCCGGCGGTTGCGGGGCGACGCCAGGGCAGGCGCGGGGACGCTCAAAGCACTGGTTGTCCTGAAAGCGCCGCAGCGGCGAAACGAGGGGATCACCTGATTCAATTCCTAGAAGCAAGCAAAGCATCGGCAAGCGTTAACAAGCAGGCGTGTTCAAAGCGTTTGCCCTGAAATAGGGCGGCAATGAGTGAGAGCATCGGCGGCCGCTGCGAACAGAAAAGGTTTCGTGGCGGCGCGGCGCGCGGCAGTGTGTGACGTCACTGTGTGTGTATTGATCTGGGGAAAAGGGGTCTCGTCAACGTGTCAAAAGGGATGGAAGTGCCGAAAAGACCTGATTTGCGCTCGGCGCAAAGCGCACACATTCGCGTGCCGGATTGGCACAGGGCATGGCAAGGCAAGCCGTGCGGGTCGCACGACTCGTACATGACTCACGCGACTCCGCGCCACATGCTCGACCGGGCGCCGCGCCCGCCGGCCGCGGCCGCAGTTGCGCGCCGCGCGCGCCAGGCCAGGCCGCCCGCCCCCGGCCTGCCCAAAGGCGCACGATGTGTCCGGGGGCCAGGGACCTGACCTATCCGCATCAGCGCGCGCACGCGCGCCGCGCGCCGCGTCTCGCGCCGCGTCAATCCAAGAGATCCACAGTACATGATAAGTTGTATGGGTGAATGAGCGGAGCCCCGCCCCCGGCCGCGCGGCCGGGGGCGCAATACGTGGTCGTCGTTGCGGGTGTGAGTAAGTATAATGGCCGCGCACCTCGTTTTCGAACTGGCCCGCACCGGCGGCGCGCAGCGCGCCGCCGGGGCGCTGCCGCGCGCCCGCCATTGCCTTCGGGGGCGCCGTCCCACGCCTGCCGCCCCCCCAAGGAAGCAAGCGGGCCGGGCGCGCCGCGCGCGCGCCCCGGAGCGCCCAGACTGCAGCCGCGCCGCCGGCCGCGCCGGCCCAGGAGCGGCCGACGCGCCGCGGCCGCCCTTGCCGCGTTCGCTGACTCAGCGCCGGCGGCTGCGCTTTTGCCCGGGTGCGTCATGTCCCACGCCCCGACGCTCGTCGGCGTGCCACCACACACATCATATAGCCTTGGCGGCCAATCCCCCAATACCCCCCCCTAAGCTGTCATCAGGTCGTCTGCTATCAGGCAAGCCAGCCACTCATCATCACCCGCGCCCAGCCAGTCGCGCGCCGACGTCTCCGCGCCGTCCGACGCCGCGTCCAAAACACTGCCTTCAGATCCACCACTACCGCTCGTGTCCGCGGCGCCGCCGCCCCCGCAAGCGGCGGCCGCGCCGCCGATCGGCAGCAGGCCGAAGGGCTGCGGCGGCGGCGCCGCCGCCGCGGGCGCCGGCGGGCGGCCGCTTGCGCTGCTGGCGCTGCTGGCGGCCGCGGTGCCGGGCTCGAGCGCCGGCAGAAGCTGCTGGGGCGGAAGCTGCTGGGGCGGCAGGTGCTGGGTCGGGAGGTGCCCGGGCAAGGCGACGTGCAGTGGCAGCAGCGGCGGCAGCGGGAGGCCAGCGGCGGCGGCGGCGGCGGCGCCGGGCGGCAGAAGAGACAGCTCGGTGAGCTGCCAGGGCGGCAGCTGCGCCTGCAGCTGCTGCGCGAGCAGCTGCCGCGCGAGCTGCCGCTGCTGCTGCTCCCGCTGCTGCAGCTGCTGGTGCTGCAGCTGCAGCTGCAGCAGCTGCTGCTGCCGCAGCTTCAGCTCCTGTTGTTGCTCCTGCTCTTGCTGCAGCTGCAGCAGCTGGCGCTGCCGCTCCTGTTGGTGGTGGGCCAGCAGCATCTGCTGCTGCTGCTGCTGCTGCTGCTCTTGCATTCCAAGCTCCCAAAACAGCGGCGGCGGCGCCGCCGCGGGCGCCAGCGGCGCCGGCGCCGGCGCTGGCGCCGGCTGCGGCGGCCGCTCGGCGCACGGCAGATTTGGCGAGCGCCGCCCCTGCAGCTGCTCACGCCCCGCCTCCTGCACGGCCCTCTGCGGCGCCGCCATTTGCACCGAAGGTTCAAGCTTTACGAGTGGAGGGATAGGCGGCGCCGCCGCGGCCTCCTGCTCGGGCGCCGCCACCCTATCAGGCGCCGCCTCTGCCGCCCGCGCCCCGACCCCCGCGGCGCCGGGGGCACCCCCAGCCGGCTCGTCTTTGATGCCAGCCTCGGCCGCGGCCGCCGCCGCGGCGGCGGCCCGTGCGCGCGCCGCCGCAGCG